AGTTCACGGGCCCAAATTAGTAGGTACAACTCGAGTTGTGAGTTTAGTCAAGTCAGGCTCTACTCAAACTTGTTTCATCTCATCCCCGGTGCACGAATATTTTTAGTAGTGGAGAATGGAGTTTTTCGTCTTCACTCAGCTAACATTGTGCATGCCCAGTAAGAATTAGGGACTGCTCAGTTTTACACTGAAAATGAGACTAGTTACACACAGATCTTCGCAACCCGTATTAAATGGGTGCTCATGTGACCATCGTATGCTGTGCGCACTCTCCAAGTGTATAGGAACTTCAAAGAGAGAGCTGATTTTCGAGAATTAGAGTACTTTCATTTCGTACTGATTTCAGGCTCCATTTTAGGTAGAAACCTTCCGAAAGCTCATGAACGTAGGTTGAAGGAAAACCGGGGTTGGAAAAAACAGTCGCTTGGATATAGAGTCCAGACTCTTAAAAACATTGACAAGAAAAAATACTCTAGATTCAATCGGATTTTTACCAACCGGAGAGATATCCCTCGATAGGGATGATTCCGGTGTCATCCGGGCAGATATGCAGCCGTGAGTTTGGTTTAGTTGGTCGGCTCGACTTCGGTCCCCGATCTCCCTAGCCAGCTTCTGATCAAAACTTTTGTCAAAATTAGAGCCCAAACCAACATATGATAGTTTAACCGCCTAGATGACCATCTGGCCGAAACCCACCCCATGCTGGGGTGGTAGCGCGAAACGGATGGAAATCGAAACCCCCGACTTTGGTTTACCACAGCCGGTGGAACAAGACGCTTAAATTGTCATCTCTTCGATAGGGTTCGCCTCTTTTTCTCCCGGAAGAACTACAAAAAAAAAAAAAAAAAAAAAAAAAAAAAAAGGGTTTTTACTTAAATCGAGAACCATGCCTCTTAATTTAAGCGGATTTCTTTCATCCATACTGTGGGTGCGCACCCGTTTCAACCAATGAGACCGCTCCATTTTCCTCAGGACTATGGCTGTGAATGTCAATTCCAATGATCAGCCCGCGGAGCCCGGTAGTGTTAGATAATTTCGTATCGCGCCCCGCTAAACCCCTACGGTTAAACTATTTCCCCGGCTCGATAAATGCGTGCAGATCAGGGGGAGGAGCGGCGGGGTCCCGAGCAATTACAATGTTTTCCTTTCAACAAGTGGATCGGAGCCACTTTTCCGCGCTGCTAGGCCTCCCCCCCCCCTTTGTTTACCTAAAATGATTCCCTCCCCCTACTGGAGCGACCGAACTCGCGGCCATTGTTTCCCCCGAATCGTGTTTCGAATACGCCTCATTGTTTTAGATGCCTCTTTAATATGAATCGGCCTACTCTGAAACTTGACGATTCCAATTCCTGATGAGTCCTGAGCTCTATGGGAAGACCTACATTGAAGGGCTCGTCAGATAACAAGACATGCTCGATTTCGACACCGACCAATTTAAATTTGAATCGAGTTTTATGGAGGGTAATTAGCTACAGTGTTGTAAAAATCGAGCATCTTTATTCCAAATTTATCTTGTGCAGTCTTGTTGTTGGACATAATGTTTCTACGGAACTAGGTGTTTTCTTGGCAATTTTAAAACCACCAAGTGCGACACACAGCAAAAAAGAAAAAAAATCTTCATCAAAACAAATTGTCAAAATAGCAAGTGGTTTTTTTTTCCATCGAGGGGCTGATGAAGATCCGGGGTCAAATTTTCCTCGCTTTCTGAATTTGATGGAATAATTTCAACAATATGACGAGAGCTACACTTTTAAGGCCACGACCCTCCTTTTACCCCTAATTGGGAAATTGGCATTCGCTCGGATAGATTCCCCGTTTGACTCCGCTGATTTCGAGTCCATCCGACCTAAAATGTCCAAAAAAGCAGGTGCGAGTCGGTGGTTTGGGACACCATGTATAAATTAATGGATAACGCTGATGGATAGTGCTGATGTAATTTCTATGAAGAAAATGAAGCATCGGTGATACTTCGGATCAGAACTATCCCTGAGTCAAAAATGATTCAAAAATGGCAGAAAATAAAGTTGATAGCAGGAAGTACACGTTTGAGCGATTGAATTTTGATCCGTTGCGACGAAAACTGATGATCTGCCAATAAATATTTAAGGGATTATTATTTGCACGTACGAAGTTTTGAACTTAATGGGAGAAAACGAAAATTTGCGACGATTTCATTCACATTTTCGTAATACGAAGATTTTTGTGCGTGAGTGAGGGCAGTTCCGTATGCGTTACTCAAGATGGTTTTGTATTTCCAAGGAACACCAGTATCCGTGGAAGCATTTTGCTGAGCAACAAAACGGCACAATAACACATTGGGTAGAAAATAGTGAAACTAAAGGAAAGTTTTTGATGGAACATTTCCTGTGCTGTAATTGCTCATCAGCTCCAAAAGAAATGGGTACTTGGTAGTGATGATGCCAAGACGGAACCTTGCTACATTTCTGTATTGAAGCACTGTACAAAATAATAAAAATAACTTGAGTTAGTGCGGTGCGAGCTCGCAGATAGGTCGATTTTTATTTATATTTATTCTAATGGTTTCTTTTTAAAAATGTGATACAAACTTTAGAAATATGCCCAATTTCGCCAGGACCATCGGTGGCTTTTTAGTGTGTCTAGTGATTTAGTTTAAGTTATACTGTCGGCACTGAAGAAGCCCCATGTGGGGGGCGAAATGCGTTTCCCATGAGTTTCAATAACAAAGAAAGCCAGAATGCTCGTAAGTAACCGTGTAAAAATAACTTTTCAAGTAATATCCATATTAAATGTTAGAATTTATTGCATAATATTCATTTTAATTATTTTAGTAAAAATGCTCTTAATTCCTACTTTAAGTATACGTCTTTTTTTTGTATCACGAATAAAGATTGTATTTTAAAGCAACCTCGAGTTAGGTCGGAGCATTTTGAAGTAGCCCCTCTACGTATGTAGCGGGCACCTATTCCGTTCGGCAGATATAAATATATTTTCATCCATTCCTGACTGTGTCCACCGTTTGTTAATCGGAGCTCTTACGATACACAGAATTGATCGCTGCAAAGTTCACGCGATTAAATTGTTCTCAGAGTAGATGAAGCAACACGGTATAGTGCGTGCGTAGCGAAGGAGGAGGACACGGAGGAGGGAGGGGGACATGAAGGAGGGTGTCTCAAGTCAATGATTGATCGAGAATTTGAACCCCGAGCTCCGAGATAATTCAATAACGTCCCACAAACACCACCCGGAGTCCTAAGTTGATTCGCCAACCGAGATCTGCTCTACGGTCGACAGGCCAAGCATGCGAGTCTCGAGAAATTATTGAGGTTATTCGCACAATATGAAAAAAAAAGTACACTGATAAAAAAAAATGGAATTACAATTACCGTATTATTTGTTTTCAATATAGACTTTCTGACTGTTTTTATTATGGACGTACTCTTTAGTAGTGTGTTATCGTTGCGGTAGAAGTAGCGCTTCTTGGTGAAAGTACATAGAGTACATAAAGTCATAATGTAAGTGGAAGAGCTGGCGCAACTTTTATGCGATTGCCAGGTCCCGGATTCAGAGACTCCTGTACGGCGCCGGGTCACTTTTTCGATACATAATCAATTGTTTGCGATACACGGGGACCCGGCCACGGAGTTACTATGTATTCCACACCACCATTTTGGATCGAATAGGTATCGATCGAAAAAGTGACCCGCACACCGGGCTCGGAACTCGTCGAGCAGAACATGGCGCCAGCTCTCCCATTTACATCTCGACTCTATGCACTCTATGTGAAAATACCACGTTTAATACTAACAGATAAGATCAAGTAAGATGGTTCTTCAGCACTTCGGGGAGAGATTCAATTGTCGATCGATCAATTGATAGATTCTGGACTATAACATGTTTCCTCAAAATCTCCATGCTTCATATCACGCTGTCCGTCTGGTATTGATGTGCAAAAATTGACCGTGAGATATTTTGAAATAATTCCAAAAGTAAGTACCGGATGACTGCAGTGAATCGAATTTGCCTGACAAACCAACAATTTCTCTGTACAAAAATAAAATGTTGGCGGGAATTTTGAAACGACGCATAGCGCTTGCGATTGGCCGGAAAGTGACGATATGCCTCCTCCCTCCTGCCTCCAGCATCTCACCATTCACTCCATTAATACCGTTGGAAAATTCAAACACCGTATGGAGTCGCATCTTTAAAAGTCGCCACTAGTGCGGTAAATATTTATGTTTCTTTAAAAACATTTTAAATTCTAAGTTACAAACCAGGTTACTTTTAACGACCGTGGATAGGAGCTTTAACCTGGGCGGCAGACTGGTGTTATCAGACTGAAGCGCCGCACGCCGCGGCGACTGATCGTAGAAAAAGGCGTATTGCTGGAAATGATTAGAAGGAGCGATCACTAAACTGACTCGTCGGACAGAACGTCCATACCTGTGGTACAAAGAGAGCAACAACAGAGTACTGCAGCTCGACTTTTGCATCGATATCAAGTGACCTTGATCGATATATAGCATTGTGTAGGTAGGTATTTATCGATCAGCATCATTCGATAACGATTCTAAAATCGACCTGCTGAAAGGTTCCTTCCATATTTACTTCCGCTTCCCCTCTTTCAGCGCATTGTTATCAGAGTAAACGCATCAACAGAGGATATGATCAAAGATTTCATTCGATACGACAGGGTCAATATTTGGTCTCGGCCCCTTCTCTGGTCTTCCAACACAAACAAAGTTTAGTTGTTCTGCATTATTCTACTTTGGGACCCAGAATGAAGTTGAAAGATGGGTCAAGTTGATACCTGAATTGAAATTTTAGATCGATAGCGATTCCATAAGACCTCGAGTTAAGCTCAGTGTCTATGAAATTTTGTCGATAATAAGGTTCGATAATCTTTTCGTTATGTAACGATCGACATAAAATTAAAATAGGAGGATGAAATTAACTGAGCAAAGAGTAAATGAAGTAATTGAAACTATGGCGGACTAAAATTTGTATGCTCAATTACTCACGTTTGAAACCAGGCAGGGTGACTTGAAATGTACATACCTGCAAAAGCAGAAGTAAATAAATTAATTAATTATATTAATAGTGGTATATAACATTTATAAGATTCCACAGCATTAATTTTAATACAATAAAATAATAAATGCAGGTTCAGTTGATTTAATTGTATACCAATTATCGAACGTCACGAGTTCAACGTGCAGAGTATACATACATGACAAAGAAACATTAAAATTACGAAAAGTGCATACAATACGAAAATCCTATCATAATGTAGAATGAACTGCTTCTCTGAAGTCTGAGTGCTTTAACAAAAACATGGTCGTGGAAAAGACGATCAAGTATTGATTCGTTTTAATTAAAATGACAGAAACAGAGCGAGCGTTGCTTGGCGTTTCAACGGCTCGGGTTGGTTGTTAAAAATAGTATTGACAGCGACGAATGACACGGTATTTACAGGTGAAGCTGAACTGCGGCAAGGAAAAGGACCATTTTCACTGTGGGAAGGTGGTGGAATAATTGATAACCAAACATAATGTTCCTCAATTTTTCTTCGAGTAGTTCGTTCAGGCAAATCACATCGATGGCCGATTAATTTGCCTCCAAAAAAAAAAAATATTTAATGGAATCTTCAAGACTGCTCCAACAGAATATTTATTTCCTTAGACGGCGATAATCATGCTTTGTTTATTATATGTTTCAGACGAAAACTAACGACGTTTGGGAAGAGAAAAGATCCACCGGTAACAATTATAGATCAACCGTCGCTCCACGAAAGAATTTTTCCGGTGCACACAGGATAGGGAGATAAATATATTCACTTCATAAAAAAGACTACATTAAAATCCATGAGTTCAGCATTGCCTCTGGAGGTGTTCATGCCTGCAGCTCATTTGGCACGGTTAACGAACGCCCTACAGAGAACAGAAGTAGGCTCCGGTTATGTTTATCGAAAACCAAGAAAAAATACCAACGAAATACACAGAAACTAAGAGCAGTAATACGAGAAGGTACTACATATAAAACTGATGTAATCCTCTCATACCACTATTCGCGCTTCACTGTTGTGCTTGAGGTATCAAGAAAATTGAGGGCGAAATGAAAAATCTTGGTCAAGACGCATCGTTTTTTACACAACGACGCCCATCCATAGCTATTCAGTTCGCTTCTAAAACAAAAATTGATATAATAAGATGATCTGGTGTCCTATCAACGAAAAAACTAATCGTGAAAAGGCAGCTAGAGTAAAACTTTTAAATTTTCAAGCAAGCCGTATTCGATCACAAGTGGGAGTCACGTAAAAATGTAAAACAGACATACTTCACGAGAGCCCATGGTGACTTCAAACTGACACTTGAACATTTTTTAAAATAGGAAAGACTAAAATGGAACATTGCCTCTCATTTGATTTTGTTCAAAATCAAACTGTAATTTTCAAGGGTTTTTTTTTTTCTTTAGCGCAATTGAATCAAATGATTTGAGTTTATCATGATACCGGTTCAAAAACTCATTTTGAGAAAGTTGGTGCTATGACAAAATTGTTGCATGTGAAAGAAGATTTAGAGAAAAAAAAGGAAAGACAAGCTGAAAATTTTATCTGAGGGACAACGTGTTTGCTGCCTCTATCGAATCCAGCTAACCAACGCCTCACAAAGAGAAGAAAATGGTTCAAGCATTCTAAGCACTCCAACTTGCTAACACGGTTCAAATGACTCGTTACACTGGCGATACTCTCTTCTCCTGAGTAGTATTCGCCTTGGGCTGATGAGAAAAAAAAAGGCTTTGAATTTTTGAGCGCCTTGGAAGACAAGGCGCATAAGTGCAGTTTTCACTATTTTTTTTTTCAAGAAAATAAGTGTTCAAAGTTTTAAATTACAAGGAGCCTTAAGGCGGACAGAGAATTCAAACTCACTTTTTGATGCACAAAAATGGGATATTAGAAGATAATTTTTCACACAGTACATTTTAAGAATAGTTTTAGTTGCGATCATTAATATCTCAAGTTTTCCCAAAACGGCACTTATACGCCCTGTTCTCCAATCTCCAAGTCCCGCATTAATCCCTGCTCTTTTCGTTGAAACAGCATCATCGCAAAAGCTTTTGCACTAATTAGTTTTTTAGGGGGGACCTGGAAAGCTTCAAAACATCCAATTTTAAATCGCCTTCTTCCCACTGCTGAACATCCGCGTGTGCGGGATACACATACCACAACATCCTAATGAGTCTCTTATGATGGAAACTCTGTGTTCGATAAAGAATGCTCTCTTCAGGATCCAATTTTCAAAAATCTTAATTGGCTGTGCGGCTTAACGTGGCGAGCACTGCGATCCGCCGATTGATCTGGCATTTAAACCCATGGAAATAGATCGATACACAGGATGTTCGCAACGAACACTCTGATAATCGATTCTTTACCATAGCTTCAAACAGAGAAATAACGATAATCGATCATTCACGCCTCTCCATTGGTTCCCTCCTGCGTTTGCTCCGAGTTTTTTTGACATTCATTCGAGCAGTTGACTTGGCAAGAGGCACGCGGGTATAATGCGTAAGCTAGGGGTGCTCAGGTAGGAGGGGGGGGGGGCTTCTGGCTGTGGTCGACTGTTGGGGTGTCGATGCTGGAGATCGGGATGTTCATCACATCACGCGGTGACCTACTTTCGTCTCTTTTCCAGTTCCCCGTCAAAAAAGAGATGACTTCAACGTTGCCATCCGTGCTCACGCGGAAAAAGTTAGAGAGTCGACATTTATTTCACGCAACTTTTTACCGGCGCTTTGGAGCGGCACCCACACAGCTTCGGAATCGATTGCATCCTTACTACCCTTGTTGCGGGAACGAAATTACCTATTCGCTCGCCGGTCCACGCCTCACAGTGGATCGAGTCAATCGGAGAGGTCGGACATGAAATATTCGACTAAAACCGCAAAATTTAATGTTTATTTCGTCGCATTTTAAATTTCAAGGGGCGCTCCTAGAAGAAAATTTTACGAGGAAACCAACTGAATCACTTAAAGAACCTCTAAATTTTATATAAACGGAGTTTTAAGCTTTTGAAGTTTCCAAATTTTGTCCGACCTCTCCTATCGACTCGATCCAGTGTGCGCCTGCGGTGAGGCATTGAATGATCGATTGTCGATATTTCCCCATTTTTTGAAGCTATGAACGGTGACGTTTCGTGCGCGATTTAACTAGAGTAGATTATCGTTTTTCTTATGAGCGAAAAGTTAAAATTTTCGTTGTACAAATCGTGCTCTACGTGCGAAATTGGGATGCGAAAAGACATCAAATAATGCTTAAATGCGCACCTTGCTTATAAAGGTAGAACATCTTTAAAAGGAGAGCATGGTCACTGCGGTTAGCACCTCTGATTGGCTCAACCATCTTAAGCGGAATGGTGTTTTCTAGGGTGTAAAAGTGGCAGGCGCTGTATGTACGCGTGACACTAAATTAATCAAAATGTCGTTTTATTAGCACATCGCAACGAGATCTCTACTGCATTAATGCATTATTACAACGTATTAACATATTTTTAAGGCTCATCTCGTGCTACTTTCGAGGAAAATTCGCTTGGATAAAGTAAGGTTGGCAGCAAATGCGGTTCGTGGTGATTAGGCCATAACCGTCAAAAGTTGGCAACGGCCGCGGCCCCCCTCCCATCCTCAAAAACCAAAACAAAGCGCCGCTATATTTGGACCCTAAGGCCTCCACGGGCCCCGTATTCATACTCTCCCTGAATGGCATTACTGCCTTAAGGTGCATTGGAAAAGTGCTCGAGATTAGAAAGAATTTAATCTCAGACAAAAGCTAAAATGGAAATATTTCTACTACACGGAACTATAAGCATTATGAAGTGAACTCTGTTATGCATATATACACTGGAAAAAAAGTAGCTTAGATCAAGCATGATGATTCTTGAATTTGCCGCCAAGAATTTTTTTTATCTTGCTTTAAGCTGACTTTTTCTTGATACAAGACAAATGAGGCTTGGGTTAAGCAAAAAAGTAGCTTATATTAACCAGAAAAATTCTTGATTTAAGAAGAAATACTTCTTGGCGGCAAATTTAAGATTCTTTTTTTTCCAGTATACTCTTATGGGTCTCATGGCTCATATCTTAATGCACATAGTTTCGTTTGGCAGAAATACGTCCAAGTGCGCGGCAGAGGAATCGCGAACATTTCCGGCTTGAATGGGCGACGTTGGACGAGGAACGGAGGGACGGAACGCGGGAAAACGCGCGGAACGCAATGACTTGCAGGGCGTGGTTAATCGAGAACTTACCGCCTGCCGTCACATCCATCGCACAACGTCAGCCTTCCCACCCGCACCCAACCCCTGTCGCGCATCGTCCCCTTGCTCACCTTCCCGCCGCCCTCGGCCGCGACGTGGTGCCGCCACGCGTCGCGACGCCAGGCGACGCGACGTCGACATCGACGAGCGGGCGACGCTGACGCAATCGGACGAGCCGCCAACGTCGATAGCCGCAAACGCGCGACCAACACCCAGGGAACGGAAGACAAGGGTCTAGTCGGGTGCTTTTAGGTGGCGGCGCTCTGCGGCTTGGCATCAGTGTGGATTTCAGTGGCACGGCGTGAATCGTTGACCATCGATGCTGTCTCATCTGATGCTATGGTAAATGTCGCAAATAGCGACGCTATTTTTCATAGTTTCTCCCATCTCCCTTACTCCCACGTTCTGCCCTCACTCTATGAATCCTAAATTTTGAGCCACGAGCAAGCGTAAATAAAAAGCATGAGTCAAGTGAATAGTGTTTTTCCATCATTTTTCTAACCTGCACTCCCACTTGAGTAGCTATTACGCTAAAGAAATTCCATCGGCTGTAACCTGGTGACACACCTGTTGTGAGGGTGCTCCATCGATTGTGACATGGAATACCCTGCCCTGCGTGTCTTCAGTCAGTCCCGCCCGAGTCTCGTCTAGTCTCTTCAGTTTCAACGTTTCCGTTTCATCGTCAGGAGTTTCTACGCTACTTCAGCTATACGTCTCATGCACGGACACAGAAAACAGTTAATCCACCGAAAT